ATGATCTGGTTGAACTGCAAAGTGCCCTGAGATGTGTTGTGAATTGGCGCTATATAAATAAACTGAAATGAATTGAATATTGGATTAAGGGCCACATAAACCAAACAACATAGATCTTTTTTTTTCAAATACGACCCAGGACACTTGGCTGTCATGTTAAGATCAGATACAGGTCGCATATTGGCAATAAAATATGATTTGGGTCCTTTAAAGCTGCAGAGTGAATGTAGCCTAACACACTGCTCATACTGACGGATACCTCGTCACCGCTGGAGTGTGATGACACCGAGCCCCGATGGCCCCCCCACGGTCTTTTAGCAGCTTCCTCCTTCTCCCGATGGTTGCCTGCTGGCTCCCTCTGTCTTCGCCTCGAGGATTTATGGGATTTTTTATATTCTCCGGCGTCTGCATCGTCTGGTGATCAGGCCCAGATCAGAAACAGTCATATTATCTCTCATTTTCCCATGTAGGCAGCTGATTTTGTTCAGATTTTACCAAAAAAGTTAAACTAAATATTGCCCAGGGGGAAACATTTCTGATTTATTTTCTATCAAACAAGCAATTTTCTTTTCTTCTATGGATTCTAAAGCTATATTATATAATAAAGTAATACATTAGAGCTTTAAAATATCATTAAAACATAACAACAACCACATGTTTATGCTTTAAAGTGTAATTTCATCCTCAGGTTTATTATTATTTAATGACTTTTGAGGCGTTAAATTAAAATATTAATAGATTTTACTGTCCTTTATGGAATGAATTGAGTCTCATTATTTTTGCAGGCAAAGAAAACATTTAGTAAAAACCTTTAAGAGTAACTCTGCTTTATTTAAACATTTTTAATACATTTTTTTATTTTTTCAAATGTCATTTAAAAAAATGCTTACATACGTATTTTATATTTAAGTTTTTCAAATTTCATTTCTTGGAAAAACTACTTTTTTTTTTAACAGATTTTATATTTTCAATCTTTAACCAAAATATCCCAAAATATTTTTTACAAAGCCTGACTTTGCTTGAAACCATATTGTAACAAAATTCATAGGACGTTATGTATCAAACCTTTTTCTGTACGTCTTCTAAAGGATAACTTCCTCCTGCGTAGTTTGTTGAACCCTCCTCCTGTGGAGTCATCACTGCTGGGGGAGCCTGGGATCATGTTGGTCTGGAACAAACACCAACCATCATGACTTGTTCGGTTCTACCACTTCCTTCCTGTCCAGGTCAAAGCTCCTAAACTTACGTCTCTGAGGTTGAAGGTGATTTCCAGGTTGTTCCAGAAATGTTCTCCAAACTCTGGATACATGTCCAGCACCTCCAGGATGTCTTCTCTCAGAATCTTATGGAGGTCACAGTATGTCAAAGCTCTCACATCAGCGTTGGATTTACCCGGGCGGGGGTACAGGTTGATGGGTTCACCGAATATGTCGTTCTTTCCTGCAGGAAGATGATAAAAGAGGAAACAGATCGTTAGCCGCCGTGTGAGCAGCATCGCATTTTACTGCAAAGCTCTGCTGCACACAATAAAAAGATTTATTCTGTCCTCATCAGTTTGGAATGAAACTATAGTTGCCAGTAGATGGCGCCAAAACGTAAAGCTTTTACAGCAGGAGCCGAAAGGGGAGACTGGAAAAAAGTAAAAAAATTCTTAAACTATGTGTATTCCTCGTAATTTGAGCAAGTAAATAAGATGATCTGCCATTTGTTCTTACAATAATATTAATTAGAGAGTATGCACTTTAGATAAGAAAATTTAGTTGTTTTGACTCATTTTTAATGTTAATTACTTTATCCCACTGACACATTTTCTCACTTGCCTCCTCAAAACACAGAAAATAAACACTTATTTCAAGAAAAATTTACTTATCTAGATCTACATTTTTTTCCATGAAAGAAATACATGTGAAAAAAGACAAGTTACAGTATGTCCCAGATTTACAGCATAATATACTGGACTAGGGATGAATTATAGAAATTGGAATGCAAGAAAGAGAAGTTCTGCTGCTCCTCCATGCAGCACAGCTAAATGTGCTTATTGAGGAGAGAATTTAAGTAGTTTATTTAGTGTTGATATTTACAATAAGAATGACGGAAATTTCATTCTGCTTCATTGGATCCATTAAACAGTAGAAATAATCTGGGCTCTGCATCCATTCATGATTCTGCTCCAGCATGTCTCCACTCTGACATTATGTCTATTGCAAATAACCAGTGAGGCTCCGCTGTAGAATGAGCAGTGGCACCCTCTAATGGACAAAGGTAACACTACAACACTCAGTTAATATGCTGGTGAAGATTCTCAGTCATCCAGGTCATAGTCATTCCAAAAAAGTAAAAAATCAATCCACTGGACTTTGTTTCCATGTTTGAAGATGTTTTGCTTCCCATCCAGGAAGCTTTTTCAATTCAAAATGTCAGGAATAGTGTTGAGTTGGAAGCTTTATACAGCAGACCAAAACAAAAACATGCAAAATTGAACCGGACGTATGGGTCCGCCCCTTAGGAATAGGGAGTTGTTGGGTTCATTGTTAGACTTCAATACCCGATACCTGCCTATTGCTCTGAAAGGGGGGTCGCTAGGGGGAATTGCTGTCCTGGCCAAATAGGCAAGGTCTTCTGGTCCCCTGTATGGTTGTGGGCGTTGCGATGATAGCGGGAGGGAATCAACTCTATGGCTGCATTGTAGGTTTCTGAAAGCTGAAATCGGAGTCCACCTCCTCAGTTTAAGGTTGTTTTTTCTTTCTTAACAAAGATGGCTTCCTTCACGCCCCTCTCAAACCACCTGCCTTCTTTGTCCAAAATGTGAACATTCTGGTCCTCGAAAGAATCTCCTTTGTCCATCAGGTGTAGATGTACAGCAGAGTCTTGTCCAGAGGAGGGCGCTCTTCTGTGTTGAGACATTTGTCTGTGGAGAGGCTGTTTGGTTTCTCCAAAGTAAAGATCAGAGCATTCCTCACTGCATTGAACTGCAGACAGCACTAAGCTCATATTTGGTTTGGGGGTTTTGTCTTAGATTGCACTAGCCTCTGTTTAAAGTTCTAGTTTGGTTTGTATCGCAGTACATTTCAAACAAAGAACCCAAACGACTCCCCATTCCTAAGGGGTGGACCCGTTCTTCCGGTTCAATTTGCATGTTTTCTAAGCTAAAACAAGGCGTTGTTTTGGTCCACTCTATAAAGCCTCAAACTCAACGCTAATTCTGACATTTTGAATTGAAAAAGCTTCCTGGATGGGAAGCAAAACATCTTCACACTTGGAAACAAAGTCCAGTGAACTTTTTTGGAAATACTCAGTTTATCACAAAAAACAATTCTTATCTAAGAAACCAGTATTTGACAATCAATTGCAAGTCAGTCGTTGGTTTCTATCTCTACTCTACACTCACCATGTTGATGACCTGGTCACACCAAAGAATTATTACAGCCATTCAGTGTTGGTCCACATAACTCTGTTTTCCTGCAGCAGCCTGGACAGTGTGAACTATACAGCCTGTCCGCTGCAGACATCAGCAATCCTCTTTAAAGAGAGATTGTTGATGAGATTCCTCAGTAGCAAAGCAAACATTGTTAACTGTGTGTAAACATGCAGAGAGCATCTGCAGCAACACAGAGAGGCTGCAGTCTGACTCACAAGCAACAAACCCAGTCAATAATGAGCACAAAACTCTGCAAGGAGAGCAGCCAGCCGGTGAGCAACGCAGTAAGCTTCCTTTAGCTACAGCAGCAGACAGGAGAGGGCCGGCAGAGCTCAGCAACTGACAGATTTAAAACCTAAAATATGTGTAAAATATGTGTTCTTGTTTGATCAAATATGGATGAGAACCTAAACCGATACACATGTTCATAACCCTGGTAAAGCAGAATAGAAGTCGTTAAGATCAGTTATTTCACAGGCCTCCATGGAGTCATTAGCTGAACTTGATTTTGAGGTTTTCTATTTCTACCAATAATATCTAACACTTAAATGATCGATCATTCGCACACCTACTGTTAACTCACTTAAGCTCTTTGTCTTTTTCAATATTAAAAACAGTTCTACTTCCACTGAATAAATAAATATCCACTGCCATCCAGTTTTTACTTATACAAAGTTTATAGCGTTTAGTTTCATTTTAACATTTGTGTCGAGTAAATAAGATCGCTCAACACTGATTTCTGCTAACTACCGTATTTTCGCGACCAGAAGGCGCATACACTGCAAAAAAATGAAATCTAAGTCATTTCTTCTTAAAATAGGGGCATTTTTTCTTGAATGAAGGATTTAAGTGAGACACTTTGCCAATAGAACAAGACAATTTACAATTAAAATAAGAAAAAACAATTGCATTGTCTTATTTCAAGTGCATTTTACCTAGATACCTTATTTTAAGAGTAAAAATACTAATTCCATTGGCAAATCATCTTATTTACCTGCTCAAATTAAGGGTAAATACACTTAATTTAAGAAATTTTTACTCATTTTGGGATCATTTTTGCAGTGTATAAACATCTTTTTTTTCCCTCAAAATGTGCGGCGCGCCCTGTAGTGCGGTGCCCCTATGTGTGTTGTTACTGCGGACGTTGTTGAGACCACCGTGAGAACGTTAAAGGGGGAAGTGTGGGCGTGGATGGACAGAAACTGCCGCCTATGGTGATTTTTAAGAGAAAGACTTTGCCTAAAGAAACTTTTCCAGCTGGAGTCGATATTAAGGCAAATAAAAAGGGCTGGATGGATGAGGAGATGATGAAAGAGTGGCTGAGGGACGTGAATGTAAGGAGACCAGGTGGTTTTTTCCCACTCATCACCATCGCTGTTAATCTGTGACTCCATGCGTGCCCATCTCACAGC